TCCCATGGCTGTCTTCCTATCTGAACTTCACCTGTCCCATGGCTGTCTTCCTATCTGAACTACACCTGTCCCATGGCTGTCTTCCTATCTGAACTACACCTGTCCTATGGCTGTCTTCCTATCTGAATTTAAACCGTGCAGGGCAAAATTAAGATCCACAGTTCTGCTGGCACGCAGCTTAGTTGGCAGAGTGCTTGCCAAGCATGCAGGAAGCCATGGATCTCTCCCTAGAACCTCATAAACCAGGAAAGATGGGACACTACTGGGAAGGCAGAGACCTGAGGATCAAGGTCATTCTCAGCTACATAGAAATAAACTAGCCAGGAATACATCAGACTCAAAAAACAAAAACAAAACTCATACAGACACTTAAAAAAAAATACTGGGGGCCAGAGAGATGGCTCAGTTGTTAACAGTACTTGCAAATCTTCCAGAGGACCAGGGTCAGAGCCCAATACCCGCATCAAGTGACTCACAACTCCCTGTAACTTCAGCTCTATGGGACCTAATGCTCTCCCTCTTCTGGCCTCTGAAGGTACCCACACAAATATGACAGCACACACACACACACACACACACACACACACACGTAAGTAAAAATAAAAGCTATAATTGAATGGACAAACCTGGACACTGATTTTAGAGCAGCAAAAGGGAAGGAAAAATTTCATCTAGCTGCCCTGGCCAGATCCCACACTTCGCTCTGTCTTGGATAATAACTCTTCTGAAACAACCCTGGGGAAATGCAAGGTGTCTGGATGACTTAGGGAACTGGAAGCCATATTTCAATAGGTGAAATATCAGGAAGTTTTATTCTCTCCTCAGTGAGAAGAGAACACAAAGCCATTCTAGACCTCTAATTCCAAAGGTCTGATCCTCTTTCCTCTCAGGTGCCTTCACCTATGGTCAGGCGCAGCCCTGGAGCTCTGAACTCCTGAAGGAGTCCATGGAATAATCATTGCTGCTGCTCACCAAGTATTCTGATTCTCCCATCTGGAGTACACTGTACTTGCACCTCTGACCTGATGCCCTTGCCAGTCTTGAGGTTAACTAGAGTCATGTGACTACCATTGGCAACTGAGTTATGAATAAACTGGGAATGTCACTCATTGCTTTAGGTATTAATACTTCATCTTAAATGGGTATTGTCTTTCAGGAAACATTCACTTTTTTAAAAGATTTTATTTTTATTATTTTTTAACAATTGTACATATTATAGCATTACTATGACGTTTTTGGTGTTGGTTTGTTTTTTTTCTTCAGACAGGGTTTTTCTGCGTAGTCCTGGCTGTCCCAGAACTCATTCTGCAGACCAGGCTGGCTTTGAACTCAGATCCACCTATTTACATCCTAAGTGCTTGGATTAAAAGCTTGTGCCATCACCGCCTGGCTTGTTTGAGCTTTTGTTTAACTTGTAACCAAAGACTTAAAGCTGGGTACAAAAATAAATCCTCTGCAATACAGAACTCATTGTTCAGCCTGAATTTTGATATGCATGATAAAGAATGTAGTAAAAATCTTTTTAAATCTTAAAAAATTGAAAACAGCATAGTCAACAATAATAAACACTATTTCTTTAAGTATTTGAAAATATTAACATCAAAGTGATTTCATTAAATTGAAATTGGCAGTGGTATTTTATGATATTTAGAACCTACCGATAAGGTCACTGGTTTTTATGAATATTGATATTGTTATGGTTGGCTTTATAAATATATTTATGTTGTAGATTAAGGTGATTTACAGGAAAAAACTTAGTGTCTGAAATTGCTTTAAAACAGTGCATGGATGGAAGGGATAGAGGGTTTAGGAAGTAAGACTGGTCAAGATGAACGCTTGCCTAAGCTGACTGAGAGTCTAATTACATTTCATCACGCTAATTTCTCTAAAAATTAAAAAAACTCTGTGTGTGTGTGTGTGTGTGTGTGTGTGTGTGTGTGTGTGTGTGTGTAGAGGCAGATTTGCTGCCTGCCACTAGGCCACACCTCCAGCCTTGTGTGTGTCTAAGTATACATTGTGCACACAGGTGACTGCCCCTAGGTGCAGAGGAGCGGGAGGTACAGCTAGTGTGGGCAGCCTGTGTGGGTGCAGGAGCCGAACTGGAGCAGTGTGTACTGTACCAGCTCTCCAGAAAACACACTCAGACAATCTCAGATCTTAAAGATAACTAATACTAGGGGGAAATCATCTAACACGGGGCAAAAATTATGCTGCAGAGGGCTGGCAAGATGGCTCAGTGGGTAAAGACACTTCCCACCCAAACCTGATGACCTGAGTTTAATCCTCATTTCATTTCGGAAAGAAAAAACAGAAAATCCTATTCTGAAAGTTGTCCTTGATTTCCACACACCCACACTACCAACACAGTAATGTTTTAAAATTTAAAGCAAACTGTAGGTAAGGAAGAAAACAGAAGCCAAAGTTTGCTTCCTTTCTCCTGCCGTCCACTGTGCCCTTCACAGATCCCTGCCTTAGGACACCAACTCCAGTGTTGGGCTGGCCCGCTGGGAGCCAGCGCTCTCCTGGGAAATGAGGCTGGTGAGAGTGCTGCTGGCCCCTTACACCAACTGGAGGTGTCCCCTTGCGCTCAGGTGAAGGGAGAGGGACAGGGGAGTGAGAGTGGAAGTCCCTGACAGCAGCTGGGCACAGACAGTTACCCAGGAGGTCAGTTGAGGTGCTGAAGCACCCTGAACTCAGGGATTGGGCAAGATGCGCACACGGTCAGACCGCTTCAGCAGCTATAACCTGTGTCCCAGAGTAGGAATTCAGAACAAGTAGCCACTCAATGCTCCTGCTCACAGATGTCACCTTCTGGGATAGAGGTGTGGGTCACTGTAGAACAAACCTAGACTCTAGCACTTCAGACAAGTGTTCCGTCACTTGTTACGCCCCAGCCTACAAACCCTTTATTAATTGGCTACTCTTTACAAGATTTAATGTAAGCTATGAGTATGATGATCTCACGTGCTTGAGGAAGGGGTGAATCCCCTTCTGCCTCAGGGAAAAGTGATTCCATTTTGTGAGTAAGTCTCCGAGAACCCTATCTGGATTTTGGATACCCCAACTAAGTTTCCACCTGTGATTCCTTCCCTTTTTCTCTCAGGCTTATTATGTCTGGTGAGATGGCTCAGCGGGTACGGCACCTGCCACCTGGGCACCTGAGCCTGGGGGAGCATCTGAGTACAGTGCCTGACTCCACGCGGTGGAAGAGATGGGACTGTCTCAAGTTGTCTTGCGACCTCCACACATACTCTAAGGTACACAAGGGCTTGCACTCAGTTTTGGGTACATGCATGGGCACAAACACCCACACACGCAAATGAAGTGTACATTATTTTATTATTATTATTATTTTTTTTTTTTTGGAGACAGGGTTTCTCTGTGTAGCTTTGCACCTTTCCTGGAACTCGCTTTGGAGACCAGGCTGGCCTCGAACTCACAGAGATCCGCCTGGCTCTGCCTCCCAAGTGCTGGGACAATTTTGTTTTTAAAATAAGATTTATTATTGCACATGTGCACAAGCCACAATGTGAGTGTGTTCTCCTATCTCTCTGAGGGCCCTGGAAGCACACCCCCCTCCCAACAAGCCTTCCAGGAGCTTGGTCTCACAGGCAATTCAAGACGAAGATGAGTACATGTGTTACAGTGTGGGTCCTGGTGGGCTGCCCGCCCTATGTGAGGCAGGCTAAGGTAGGAGGGAATCCGATTCCTCCTACTCCTGAATGGACAGTAAATGGAGAATAACCCTGAGAAGACAGGCCCTTAGCTACAAAGGGAATTCCGGGTTTCTACTTTAGGGTTTGAATCCAGGACAGGCTCTTGGGTAGCCCAGGCTGGCCTAGAATTTTACACAGTGTAGCCAAGGCTGAGCTGAGCCCTCATCTTTCTCCAACGGCACAGAAAGGCAGGTCTGCATAGATGCTCCCGGGTGCCCAGGCTGGCTCCTAAGGGCTGGGAACACCGAACTTACACCCAAGAATGACTCTCCTGGCTCTTAAGCCTCAAGAAGAGATCACAGGCTCTGTAAATCCTGGTACCTAGTTGGCAGTGTGGGACTGCCACATAACTGGCCAATAAAGCCTTGATGTTCTCTTGGGGGGAAGTCACGCCCTCTTAGGATGAACAACACAAATGAGCTGTTGATGCTGTGGATAGAAAGAGGTCCCTTCTGAAAACCTGTGATACAGCACAGGGGCAAATACAGCTTGATGCATAACTTTGGCCAAATATTTGAATATTTCATGATATACTTTGAAACTCAAGTTATTGTTTTTGAGGAATCTGCTGGATTATTCATTTAGTGGTGTGAGTCTGGTTGTTCACAGGCCATGATGTGCTTGTGCAAATCAGAAGACACCCTGGGTGAGTCAGCTCTCTCCTTCCACCGTGTGGGTCTCAGAGATCAAGCCCGCGTGGTGAGGCGTGGTGGCGGAGCCTTTGCCCACTGGGTATCATGCCAGCTGCTGTCATGCTCTTTCCCTTTGAGACAGGATCATGCTGTTGAATTCTGGCTAGCCTAGAATCCACAGCAACCATCCTGTCTCAGCCTCCAAAATGTGAGGATTAGAGATATGAGCTTCCATATTCAGGGCATTTATGATTTTCTAATCTAACCCTTAACACTATTCATCTTAAATTCTGCAAATTCAAGGAAGTATACAAGTAATATAATTTACCTTGAAATTAAATTATAAGACTTTTTTGTTTGGTTGGTTTTTTGAGACAGGGTCTGTCTGTAACCCAGGTCGTCCTGGAACCCACTGATCTCAAACCCACAGTAATCCTCCTGTCTCAGCATTCCAAATGAGAATATTGGCACATGCCACCATGCCCAGCTCAGCCCAGATTCTAAGAGTGATCAATTCATTGGTGGATGTTTTTACACAACAATAAAGATTGCTACCATGAAGTAACCCACCATCTTAGAAGCTCTCGTAACAGGGTCCGCTAATCTCATTTAACCATCTCAATGATCATGTGAAGAGATGGTATTCATATTTTAAAGAAATAAGACAAACAAAACCAGGTATAGTATCCCACACCTGCAATCCCAGCACTTGGAAGACAGGAGGCAGAAGAATCAGGAGCTCAAGGTCAGCCTCAGCTACACAGTAAGCTTTGAGCTCCATCTGGGCTAAAGAAGACTGTGTGTGAACACCACTCTCCCACAAGATGAACAAATAATATATTTATCCAAGATCACAGAGAAAATCAACTCAAGAGCCAAGAATGAAAGCCCAATCTTCCAGTAGTTTTTACATATTACTACACTGTCTTTAAGATACACATACTCACTCAACAACACTCACCAACCTAAACAGCTTCAGTGCCAAAATGACAAACATTAAAGAACTACCATCAATCTTGTACACACATACAACACTCTGTTCTGCCTTTTAAAAGGAAATAAATTCAAACACACCCTAACACAGATGGACTTGAAGACCTTACAGCATGTTAAGCAAGGCAAGTACAAAACGATCAATGTTATAAAGGGATCATACTCAAAATCACATGATCAGTGTTCTATGATTTTACCTGGACAGGGGGGTGTAGCATACTCAAAATCACATGATCAATGTTCTATGATTTTGTATAGCATACTCAAGATCACATGATCAATGTTCTATGATTTTACCTGGACAGGGGTATAGCATACTCAAAATCACATGATCAATGTTCTATGATTTTACCTGGACAGGGGTATAGCATACTCAAGATCACATGATCAATGTTCTA